GCATTCGGAAAGTGCAGCAAAGGGAAGGCTTTCTTTGGTGGGGATGAAATCGGGTACCTTGATATCGCTTTCGGGAGCTTCTTGGGATGGCTTAGAGTGACCGAGAAGATCAATGGGATAAGGCTGATGGATGAAGCCAAGGCTCCTGTACTGGTTAATTGGGCCGAAAGCTTCTGCTCTCATGCTGCTGTCAAGGATTTTATGCCTGATATCGATAAGCTTACGGAGTTTGGTAAGATGCTTTTTGCCAAATTAAGAGCTGCAGCTGAAACGCATTGAAGCAAAAACATGCTTCTTTGTTTCTTTACTTTTGTGAACAAGAGAGTAACGATTCAAGTTTTCATTTTGATACACCATCATATCTCCATCAAACTGTTAAAAGTAAGTGGGTGACTACCATATACACTACATCACAGAGAATCTCGTCAGTGTAATTCCAAAATTTTGAAAGTGATCAGGGATTGATTAGTTACATTTAATTCGTTATTGTCATTAAGCCACTAATGATATTGCTTAGGATTCATTTGCATGACAATCCACCTAGTATCTCATTATTGTATTGTTATATCTGAAGATTCTTCATCATTATATACGACGTCATCATCAATGTCATCATTATCACGATCAAAATCCAAAGTCATAGTACCATTGAGCCCACAAACATTTAGGTAGTTTTTTTTATTGGGTGTCATTTCGGCTCCCGAGTTTGGTTTAACTATCCAGAACGACCGGGTCGCACACTCGTTGCCTGTGGTGGGTGAGTTCCTAGCGAGGATTTTTGTATACACGATGACTCGAACTCGAAACCTATGATATCAAGCTACTTACTACTTGAATCAACCTCTATTGGTAACATTTAGATAGTTTTTATAATATCATTCGTTTCTTGACATACTATTCAAATATCTACAAAAAAAATAAATAAAGTACACTAACCACATTAATCAATCATTTTGCTTAAAATCAGCAAAATAATACAAACCAACCACTAAATATGAAAACATCATGTAAGAAATAGTTAAAAAAACTAATCAAACAACTTGAAAATAGAAATATAAACAAATACTATTGTGAAAATAAAAATAAAACAAATACTATTGTGAAAAATAGATATGGTCAACACTAGAACCCATCAAGTGACGGCGTTAAAAGAGAATGTTATTCTCTTAAGATCCTAGATTCGAACAATCACATATGTAGGGTGTACGTACATTATCAATTGATTAAGAAAGTTCTGAACAGATACTTCCTTATAATCATCTAAGACAATTCAAAAATTATTGTCAATAATAACATAAAATGAATATAAAAACAACGATATGTTAACAACTAACTTATCACAACTCAAACGAGATTATCTCTAGTGATTACGAGAATCTATCAATATACGGATACCAAACCAAAATTTCAAATCAATAGTAGAACAACAAGATAATAAAATAAAATATTAATTAAAGCATTAATGTCAAATTCAACCTAAAATAGAAAAAAATTACGATACCAAACTAACACAAAACTCAAATATACAAAATAAAAAACCAAATAACTCAACAATTTAAATTGAGTAATTATAAACAAATAGAAATTGATTACCCCGATTTATTTATCAATTTGTAATAGTAAAGTATATCTTATTAATAAATAAAATAAATAAAAAATCCAAATTATAAAGTCAAGAGTTGTTATTAACTCATCCTCATGCTCATCAGTCGTTAATACTCATTACCCAAAATAAATATGTTAGTTGGCATTATCTATCATCACAAATACTCCATACCAAAATAGATACGATAGCAGGTTGATCAATTTGTCCATCTTATTGTACCCACTAGAAATTATGATTCAACTCATTATTGTACCATACTACATATGGCCACTAATAGAAATAAATATTATATTCTGATAGTTAAACTGTGATTCCTCTCGATGTTGCTACTAACTACCGCAAATTAAAAAAAAAACTATAATATGACATGAAAATACATTTTTAAACATCAAGCTTTAAAACTTAACAAAATACATCTACTCTATTGTACTTCATTAAATTTATAAACATAAACATACACGTCACAATACAAGAAAGATGACATGATGAGTAACTTGTCTCAAAGATTAGGTTCTATCCCTACCAAGCACATGAACATAAAGGAAGACATAATACGAGTCTTATTGATTATTCACTTTCCATATTTAAGCATCAAGTGGTATCCATATCATAGTGTCATATTATCATAAATTATAAATCAAACAATCATTACTGATCAATATCACGGAAGAGTACATATACATATCACAATTCATTCCCTAACTAGCCTCCTTTATCTAGCTCATAGAATATCATAAGCCATAAGTAAACTTAAATTGTAACGCATTTTGCCACTGATCTATATCAGTAACATATTCATGTACTTAAGTCATTTTTCTTATTTTGAGTTTATGCGTATCAAATATTAATTAGACATCTGGATAATCTTACACTACTCATAACTATTCAAATCATAATATAATATGCAGTGTTTGTTGCGGAATACGGCTATCGGATAGAACAAAATCGCAATTGATAATTTGAGAAAATAAAAATGAAGATAAAGAAGACACAAACTTTACGTGAAAAACCCCTAAATAATATAGGGTAAAAATCACAGGCAACGGTAGAAGAATTTAACTATGAGAAAATAGGAATTACAACCTCTCTCGATCTAATAAGGAGAAAACAATAACAATTCTCTCTTGATAAAAAGGTAAAAACAACTCTAAAGAAAACTCTCTAAATTCTCTAGTATTGGGAGAAAGCTAGAATAATTTGGGATGATTTTGAAGCTAAATGGGTTAGGTATTTATAGTTGAAGCTTAAGGACTAATCTTGTAAATATCCTAAAGTGCACGGACTAAATTTATAATTTTCTCATTACCCAAATTCAACAAAATCTGCACCTAATTCGGTGCCTACCATTTTTTCAACAATGCACTTTTGGTGCATTTGACTTTTAACAATCTCTCACTTGAAGATTTGATTGGAACAATCATATCTTAACACCATTCTTTCTACCTTATACCTCTTTGTTGTATTCCAATGCTCTTTGCCTGGATTAGCCATGTATCGACTAACCACTCCAACTGCTTGTGCAATGTCTGGTCTTGTACATATCATAGCAAACATTAAACTTCCCACTGCTGATGCATACGGTACTAGAGATATCTCCATCCTCTCTTGTTCACTGCTAGGACTCATACTGGAGGATAATTTGAAGTTAATAGGAAGAGGGGTAGAAATTGGCTTACAATTTTGCATGTTGAATCGTGACAATATCTTTTTCAAGTAATTCTTTTGTGAAAGCCAAATCTTCCTATTACTTCTGTCTTGGTGAATTTGCATCCCTAGAATCTTGTTTGCTGATCCCAAGTCATTCATTTCAAATTCCCTAGCCAAATGTGCCTTCAATTCTTCAATATGATATTTGTTGGGTCCTACAACCAACATGTCATCCACATACAACAACAATATAACAAAATCGTTATCACCAAACCTCTTGAAATAAACACAAGGGTTTGCATTAAAATTGTTGTATCCAAGGCACATAATGAAGGAATCAAATATCTTATACCAACACCTCAGAGCCTGCTTTAGACCGTACAGAGATTTGTTCAACCTGCAAACTAACTTCTTCTTCTTCAAAACGTTCAGGCTGGAACATATAAATATCTTCTTCAAGATTTCCATGAAGAAAAGTTGTTTTAACATCCATGTTGATGATCACTTTGCGAGCAATGGGATCCCACAAGCTATACCCCTTTACTCCATCATCATACCCCAAGAATTTGTATTTATCACATATCTCCTTAGTTGTCTTCTTATCCTCAATGATTCATCTTCAATTTCCACAATGAGATATTTTTTCCATTGAACTTTTCAATATCAAATTTCGTTGACATAACTTTTATTACGGATAGCTCTCACTATTTCACTATTGTGAATAGTTCTCTGGAACCTTTAAAGAATGAGTAATATCTTGTTACTTTCTTATGTTGGAGGATCCACCTTTTGGTGGCAACAACAAAGACAATAAGTAGATATTACACACTCTAATCTGGCTCTGATACCAATTATCGCGGAATACAGCTATCGGATAGAGCAAAATCGCAACTGATAATTTGAGAAAATAAAAATGAAGATAAAGAAGACACAAATTTTACGTGAAAAACCCCTAAATAATATAGGGTAAAAACCATGGGCAACGATAGAAGAATTTAACTATGAGAAAATAAGAATTACAACATCTCTCGATCTAATAAGGAGAAAACAATAACAATTCTCTCTTGATAAAAAGGTAAAAACAACTCTCAAGAAAACTCTCTAAATTCTCTAGTATTGGGAGAAAACTAGAATAATTTAGGATGATTTTGAAGCTAAATGAGTTAGGTATTTATAGTTGAAGCTTAAGGACTAATATTGTAAATATCTTAAAGTACACATACTAAATTTAAAATTTTCTCATTACCCAAATTCAACAAAACTTGCACCTAATTCGGTGCCAACCATTTTTTTTCAACACTGCACTTTTGGTGCATTTGACTTTCAACAGTGTTTATGTTGTTTTCTTAATTTTCAAACATACTCCCTAATCATATCACAATATTGGATTTTTAAGTGTTTTATCGATCATTACTCGTATGGATAATTATCTCAGCGTATCCATAAGGCAACATAAAATATAATATCACTAATGACAAATCATCAACATAATATGGCCACCAAGGCTAATTATCAAAACAGTCACTGAGGCGCACCAAAGCACGCACGGCCACTAAAACCCACTTTCCAAGCACACATAATAAAAATCATTTTATAAATTTTAATAGTTAAAAGAATTAATAAAATAATACTTCATAGTATGGGGACCATTTGTGTATTTTTCCCTTAAGAAAATACTTATTGACAGCAACTTGAGTCTTCCCTGTTTTACTTGTCGGTCACATGCTTTACAACTACAATTCAGCAGGCCCTCATTTCTATATAACCATCACTTCTAGTTTGACCAAACACAAAAAGATAAAGAGATCGGTGGTTCCGATATGGCGAGGAGTGAAGTGAAAGTTTTGGGTACGTGGGCGAGTCAATTTGCGATGAGGCCGAGGATTGCCCTTAACCTCAAATCTGTTAACTATGAATTCATAGAAGAGAAGAAGCTGTTGGAAGACAAAAGCCAGCTTCTTCTCCAATCAAACCCGGTATACAAGAAAGTCCCGGTCTTCTTTCATGGCGATAACAAGCCAATCTGCGAATCTCTTATTATCGTACAGTACATCGACGAGACTTGGTCTTCTGGTCCTTCCATCCTTCCTACCGACCCGTATGAACGTGCCGTCTCTCGTTTCTGGGCTGCATACCTTGACAACACGGTATTCATAATTTCATATTTTTGTTTGTTTGTTTGTTTAATAAATAATTATTTGAAGAAAATCCAACTACTATTCATTTTGGAGATGAGGTAGATCCATCACTTTTTGAATTGTTTTGTTGTGCAGTTAGCGGCGGATCTATGTTTGTTGATTTTGGAATTCGATTTTTTTTGTATTATTTATTTTATTGATTGTATTCCTCCTTAATTTTATTTTTGATTATTTCTTACAAAAATTTTATAGGGTAAAGTATAGAAATGACACTGATTTTAGGATATTATTTTGTTGAGTCATCTGACTATTAAAAGTTATAAAATGATCCTGATAATGATACACTTTGTTGAGTCTCCAATTATTAAAAGTTATAAAATGGTCACCGATTATAGGGTGTTGTTTTGTTGAATCTCTCGACTATTAAAAGTTACAAAATTGTCACTCGACTATTCATTATGTACCAAACTCATATTTTTTTTGTTGAAAAATCGTCTAAGCGAATCGTTAACTGATGAGATAGGATAGTCGTTTGAGTTATGAGATTATATTTTATCATATCTCAGTCAATAGGTTAACGTCCAACTCAAACAAAAAAATTTAACGAAAAAATGACGAGTTTTGGAATTAAATGAATAGTCGTGTAGTCATTTTGTAACTTTAATAGTCGAGGGATTCAATAAAGTAACACTTTATAGTTAAGGATCATTTTATAAATTTTAATAGTTAGGGGACTTAACAAAAATTATCTTATAGTCGGAGGATCATTTATGTATTTTACCCAATTTTATATTGTTAATTTACATTTAAAAATATTTGTGAATCCGTTGTAGTGGTATCCGGCGGTGCAAAGCCTTGGGATTCCACAAGGAGAAGAAGCAAAGAAAGCAGCAATGGCGCTAGTGGAAGAAGGGGTGGCTCTAATGGAAGAAGCATTCGGAAAGTGCAGCAAAGGGAAGGCTTTCTTTGGTGGGGATGAAATCGGGTACCTTGATATCGCTTTTGGGAGCTACTTGGGATGGCTTAGAGTGGCCGAGAAGTTCAATGGCAAGAAGCTGATGGATGAAGCCAAGACTCCTACTCTGGTTAATTGGGCCGAAAGCTTCTGCTCCCATGCCGCTGTCAAGGATTTTATGCCTGATACAGACAAGCTTGCTGAGTATGCTAATATTGTCATTGCCAAAATAATTGCCCTCGGCGTTGCTCCTGAAACGCTTTGAAAACAACACAAAAGTTGTCGAACTAAATAAATATTATATGTGTTTCTTCACTTTTTGTGATGATAAAGGATATATCCCATTTCTCAAGATTTCTTTCCCCTTTTATGATGAATGCAGGGATAGACACAAATGATCCTACGTTAGAGGGCCAACTACGAAAATTTTTGTAGAACAAGAATTTTAATAATTTTAGGGAGTAAAAATAAATTATTAATTGAAAATATAAAAAATATACTAATTTAAAAATTTTAACAGCTCACTCATCCTCATTCAATTAGTCCCTGAATGAATTATCTTATACTAGTTTGGATTGAGGTTGAGTAAGAATATAGAAAAGAAATTAAGTCATGCCTAATTATGATGTTTTTTATTTTTCTTAAGTAACTGAAATTCATCTGACAACATGCATGTTGCTTGGAGATTATGCAAATATTCATTTGTAGTTAGTGCATTTAACTAATGTACAATTTATTCCAATTAATTGCATGTGAAATGTCGAGTTAAGAAGCCAGCTACTAAGCAATATGCAATTTAAATTATATTCCTAGGCAATTGCATGATCTTTGCCCTTGGTGAGCAAAGATGAGTAAAGTTTAAGGTGTGAATTCTTTCTGATGCTATTTAAACTGAATAAAAATATTAAAATTTTAAATATATTTGATTTTATATTTTTATATACTATATTAATAATATTAAACTTAATCAAATAATTTTAGTTAATCAGTAACGTACACATGCATTAGGACAAGTTCTGCATCAACCGCAACCAACCTAAACCTTTTAGTCTAGAAGTATAATTATACCCAAACAGGTATGTAACTATGTAGCATTCTTAACTAGTAATGAGTAGAAGGAAAGCCATAAGATGACCATGTGCGTTTATTCCATTCACTAAACATTGTTTAAAGACTTAGGTATATACATCGAGGGCTCAACTTGTATTAGATATTGTCCTTGCGTGAGTAAGTTCACTATTAACGATCAATTAATCTAATAAGATAAAATACTAGTGTAACATCATCAATACCGGGTTAGTGACTAAATTGTAAGGTTACAAAATTTGATGATTTAAAGTAGAATAATTGAATAGTTCAATGACTTATATGAAATGTTATGTGGGATCAAATTGAAAAGGAGGAATAAAATGATAGTATGGTCTTTTGCAAGGAAAATAATTAAAGGAGATATATATATATATATATATATATATATATATATTAGCTACACGTGGAAGTGAAGGAAGCAAAACACAAGGTTTCCAGAGTTCTCTTCTTCTTTGTACGTGAAGGTCCAAAATCAAAGGTGAGTTCTTGGTTAGTTCATTTCTTGCTGAATTTAAGATTGGTTTATGATTATTGGATGATAATTAAGCTTAAGGAAAGCTTAAATTATCTTAAAGTTAAAAGATGACGAAATTAGGAATGATTAAAGAAAAGAGGTGAATAAGTGAAATCTTGATAGAAATGTATTAATTAGAATTCAAGACTAAATTTGACTTGTCATTAGTGGAATTAAGGAATAGGAAGTGTTAGAATAGGAATTAGAACATGTTGGAAATTTAGTGTGATTCTTGAATGCCATGTAAATGATAGAATTTTGAGTTTAAAGAAGTGATTATGGAGTAGAAATGATTTTAAGTATGTGTATGCAAGTTAGGGATATTAAAGGAGGTGAAAGATGAAGAGTTGAGCTGAAAAGAGAGTGAATTTCTTGCTTAAAATGGAATTTATGGGTTGTGTGCATCGGTACATCTTCAATGTGTACCGATGCACTCTCAAATAAATAAACATCGAATGTAATTAGTGCATCGATGCACCCCCTTACAATGAAAACATCGAATGTGATTTGTGTACCGATGCATAGATAGTGCATCGATGAACATGTTAAGGGATACATCGATACACTGTATAGTGCATCGATGCATACCTTCATTAAGAGATGATAATAGCCTTTCTTTTAGTGTAAGAAGTGATAGTTTGGAATATATCAATTAGTATACTGATATGTATCAATGTATTACGATGTAGATTTAGAGCATAATTCTATTCCGAAACAATCGAAGGATTAAGATTGAGTCAAATCAGACAAGGCTAAGGTGAGTGCATATCCTAGATAGAATTGTATTGAGATAAGACTCACGATGAGTCTATCTCTTATAGTGATTCCATGCATAATTCATTCATGCTTTAACATGATATCATATGAATGAATGTCATTATAAGAGAATCCTTCCAGGTATGTGAAATAATAGAAATGATCATATGAATTGACTTATGTGTTTACATGGACAATGATGAAAGTGATATGAAATGAGGAATATATTTATAATTAAGCCCATGTTATTTAATATGAGAGCTGTATGTATAATTGGCATGCCAAGAGTCGAGGGATTTACAGTGGTCCTTCGGGACATAGTGGTCCTTCGGGACATAGTGGTCCTTCGGGACATAGAGGTCCTTCGGGACATAGTGGTCCTTCGAGACATAGTGGTCTTTCGGGACAAATATTCAGTGCCTCTAGTGGGATTTTATTCAAGTTGTGGTGACAACATTGTGCACAACTTCAGTGTACTCACGTACCTTCTGTTCTCAATAATGTACATGGGCAATCCAAAGATAAATTAAAGTGAAACTGGCATAAGAATATAAGCTTCATATGTGCATGGCATAATCATATATATTATAGTGTAATAGATGCATGCAAGTTGAAATGTCATGATCAAATGGTACGAATGCATGTTCATTAATTTAGTGTTATATCTATATATTCATATTATGCCTCACTAAGTCTATGACTTAGCGTGTAAGTGATTTACACATAGGTACCAAGGAACAAAAAGAACAGAATTAGGAGTGGCAAGGATTGCGTCACTACTAGAAGATCAGATCAGAAGTAACTGATATAGTATGTATTTTATTGTGTATAGTGTGTTGGCATGTAAGAAATATATTAGTTACAAATGCTCTGATCTGTTTTGTTTTAGTTTGGTTAACTTATGTAAATAAACCACTTTTATTTTAATGAAAGTTTTAAATTTCCTTGATTTTCGTCAAGAGTCAATGTTTGAAAAGTCAATGTGACACCTCAGACTTGTATCCGGAGTCTAGTGTGTCCTATAAAGTATACATGCCAAAATAGTGAAACCTGATATAATAGTAAGTATGATGTTTTGCTAATAGAATATATATGGTTATGTTCTTATAGATGTCCAAACATGGTAGCTCTAGAAGTGAAGCGGGAGATGATAGGCCCGCTGAAAGTAGTAATTCACCTGCTTTGGCCAGGTAGAGTGAAGAACAGGCACCCTCTGAAGTGCTTGTGAGTGATCAAAATGTGTTATTCAGAACACTGGACGCGGTATTGGCGCGATTCCAACCTTCTGTTACTTTAACTCCAAGAATGAATATTGTAAAGGAGTTGAAGGGTTTAAGAGCATTAGAGTTTAGAGGTGAAGCCGAAGAAGGTCCTGTTGCTGCGGACCTTTGGCTTAATGATGTGAAAATTATGCTTGAGGGACTTCATTGTTCTGATGTTGACAAGCTGGATGGAGTAGTCTCCTTGCTCCGAGGGCAAGCAAAGATTTGGTGGACCAACGTTACCTTGAGAATGACAAGTGATTAGGTAACTTGGTCCTTGTTCTTAGAAGAGTTCAAGCATAAATATATCAGAAATCAATTCATCCGATAAATGAAGCAAGAGTTCATGAATCTGAAGAAATGGAACTGTACAGTGTAAGAGTACGAATGTGAATTCAACAAGTTAAGCCGCTTCGCTGTTGAGTTAATTCCTACAGAAAAGGATGCTTGCGAGTGGTTTATTGAGGGATTGCGTCCTCGTTTGAAAGAGATGCTTATTGCGTTGAACTTATATTCATTTCAAGAAGTGGTGAATCGTGCTAAAGCTCTGGAAAGAGCTCAGAATGAGAGGTTCGAAGATTTCCAAGCTCAGACATCGAAAAGATCGGGTACACCATCGAGTGTTGCACCATCAAAAAGGGGCAGAGATGCTGGTTCTCGACCTCAAGCTAGATCAGAGTCAGTGGTATCCTCTGCGAGGGGATCAAATCCGATGAGGGGACAACAAACTCAGTCAGCGGTATTGAAAACATTTTGATGTTTCGATATAACAAACTAAGTATAAATGAATTTTAAGATTTTACAAAAGATTTTCTTAATATATTCGATTTAATTATTCGAATATCAAAATATTACTCCAAGTCTTTTAAAGATCTATTTCAATCCTTACTAAATTGTAAAATTGTGTTTTAATCTTAAAATGTTTTTTGAAACAATTTTCACAAAATATTTCGAACAAAAAACAAGCCTAAAATCAATTTTTCAGGTAAGTGTACCGATGCATAAATCAATGCATCGATGCACCCTTATTTAATTGAACATTGAATGGCTTTTATGTACTGATTCACATACCATGCATCGATGCACTCCATGTATTATTAAACATCGAATTGATTTTATGCACCGATGCACAAGCAATGCATCGATGCACCCCGGCTATTTTGAATCATCGAAGTATATTTGTGCACTGATGCACACCCCAGTGCACCGATGCACTTGGTCAGCCAACGGTCAAAATATTTGAATTTTACACTTGGTGCACCGATGCACCTTGTCTATACATCGATGCATCCCACGCTCCCAACCAGATTATTAATTATTTTCACAAAAAAAATGGATCCATTGACTCCACTAATGATCCCCAACGTTCAGAATCAATTGAAGGAGTATTTAAACAAGCTTAGAAGCCATTGATCAACAATAAGAAACAAGAATCAAGAGAGAATCAAAGAGAAAGCATCAAACCTCAAGTTTGAGCAATTTCAAGCCAAATTTCATTCAATATTCATCTTTGCTTTCAAGAACACTTATTGTGCTCAATTATATTATTCTTGAGTGTTCTTTCTTTGTTCTAGAATTGTGCAAACATCTTTCCTTGTGAGGATTTTCTTGTAAGTTTGCAAAATTTGTATTATTCTCTTTGGGGGAGAGTGTTCTCAAGAATTTGGGGTATAATTCTTGAGGGATTTGTAAGGTTACTCTTTGTCCTCAAAAGAAAGACAAATTAGTGAA